GGTGGGGCGGGGCAGGGGCCGCAGGACCCGCCGCCGGTCGCAGCCTTGGCGCCTGTATTGCTTTACTGTTTTGAAAACTCTTTGGTTTTATAGTCCTTGTACATTCAAAATACTTACAGAATTGAATTGTGTTGATGGTATGTTTTCCGAAGTTGATAACTCCCTTCTAACTCAGTAGGAGGATATTTATAATTTTCGGCAATACACAATGAAATATTTAGAGAGAGGTCACAAAGCATTCAACTGGTGCGCGAGTGCGAGGAATGATGAAGCAGTTGGGCACAATATCGTTGGCATTAGTAGCTTCAAAGCATGGGGTGCAAGATAGTAACTGTATTGTTCTTTTTGTGCTAATTTTCTGTAAATTTGGAATTATTTATGAATAAAGTGTTAAATACCAAATTTTGTCTTCTCTCCTTTTCTATCGAATTTCTACTTTTAGCTTTATGGCAGTGTGACATAGCATCTTAGGAATCATGGTCATTTCAAAGTCTTGTCATTACCGAGACAATTAAGTCATGTGCCTTCCCTCCCTTTTCCTACTTGGTCCAACTGCTCATCTGATCTCTCTTTTTGAGATTGGCTTTTTTTGATTTCATGTATGAGATTATACCATATTCACACTTCTGTGTCTGGCTCATTTCACTTAGTATGGTGTCCTCCACTCTTATCCATGTCCAAAATGAAAGTATGAGATCACTCCTATCCAGCTTCAGGATTTTATACCTTTTTATACATTATTATTTCAGGATAGAAATTGGATTTATGCCAGGTTCTTTCTTAAGCATGTTTTTAGCTCCATGTGTGCAAATTTCAACTTATATTTTTCATAAGATTAAACTTTTCTTACTATCAGATTTGTCTCCTGAAATATGTTGAGTTTCTAAGTAATTGCGATTATTTTCAAAGTTTTGTTTACATGTTTGTTTTATAATTAAAATGTACATTCTGTGTGTGTGTACTTTTTGTTTTTCTTTTGTGACTCTTCATGTACAGTGGATACATCTGTCATTTTACATGGTTTCTCACTGAGATTTTATATATAAATTATAAAATGTTTCCAAAATATGACAGGATTTATTCATTTTTCTTTGGAGGTTTTTTTTTGCTATAGAGCACGTGCGCTTGCCAGACATACAGAGAGAGACAGAGAGACAGAAAGCGAGAAATCACCCCCCGGGGGGATGGCCATGCCGCAGTCCCTTCTCCTCCGTTCTCCTCTTGGGATCTTGGGCACGCACGCACACACACCCGGCGTGAGTTTTAAGCCATTGGATCTGGGGCGCGAACCGCGGTCAACTACGTGGGAGTCCAACGACATAGCTATTACGTTAACTGCTGGTCCAGGATTTATTCATTTTTAAGTAGGTCTTTATTCTCTAGGTACATATCCCATGTTTTTAAAATCGTCCATCTATCCATAGTTACTTGTGTTCCTTCTACATCTTTGCTGTTGTGAATAATGGTGCAGTGAACATGGGAGTACACCTCTTTGGGATACTGACTTTATTTCTTTCAGGTATACACCCAGAAGTGGGATTGCTGGGCCATTTGATATTTATATCTTTAATTATTTGAAGAATCTCCAAACTGTTTTCAGTAATGGCTGTACTGGTTTATGTTCCCACCAGGGTGTACCACGACATCCTTTTTACACCCTCACCAACACATCCTAATTTTTGCTTTCATAATGAAAATTAGCCTGACAATGTGATTTTTCATGGTGGTTTTAGTTCCATTTCCTTGACAATTAATGATGCTGAGCACTGATAAATGCTGTTGGCTGTTTGAAAAATGTCCACTGAAGTCCTTTGTTAATTGAGTTACATGTTTTTTTTTTTTTCCTAGTGAATTGTAGTATTCCTTTTTTATTTTGGAAATTAGCCCCTCTTTAGATATAATGTTGCCATTTCTTAACACATATTTTTCTGCCTTTCCATAGATTGCCTTTTCTTTTCTTTCTTTCTTTTTTTTTTTTTTTTTTTGGTGGTTTACTTAGATGTGTGTGAGAGTTTTTGTTTGATGTAGCAAATAGCACACTTAATGGTGAAAGCTGAAAACTTTTCATGTAATATCAGGAATAAGGCAAGGGTGTTTTTTCTTTTTCTTCCAATTTTATAATTTCTTTATTATTTTTTATTTTAATATTTTATATACATTCAATCATATTATTTAGCTTACAAAGTGAACATTTCAAGATGTGAACATTTCTCCTCAGTCCAGTTGATCATAATATCTCCACCGATAACACCACACCTCCCCATCCCATCAATGCTCTGTCTCCGTATCCCTCCTCCAAATGTCCTTCCTTAGGTCCCGCTTCTCTACACACACCACATCTGGCACTAACCCCCATCTCTTGTGTTTGTACAACCTTCGGTCAATCAGTTTCAGTCACAGAGTGCAGACACTTGGTATATATTAAGTGGGGACATACAATGTCTCTCCTTCATAGTCTGGCTATTCTTACTTATATTTTCATCGTTGTATAACTTTATGGCACACAATATGGTTTTTCAAAGCATTTGTGATAATCAAATCAGTTATTATCATATTTATCATTTTTTTGGGAGAGGTTTTTGCTATAGGGTATGTGCGCTCGCCAGACAGAGAGAGAGACAGAGAGACAGAAAGCGAGAAATCGCCCCCCATGGGGGATGGCCACGCTGCGATCCCTTCTCCTCCATTCTCCTCTCAGGATCTTGGGCACGCACGCACACATGCCCGATGTGAGTGTAAGCCACTGGGTCCGGGACTTGAACCGCGGTCGACTACGTGGGAGTCCAGCGACATAGCCATTATGCTAACTGCTGGTCTCCCATATTTATCATTTTCAACAACAAAAAATTACATTTTTGTGTCTGTTAGATGCTTTTCTTCTGAATCCCTCCCACTTACCTCCACTATTCATCCCCTGAGACTCCCCACACACAGACTCTAAAATCAACCCTTGCCCTCTCTAGTATTATAACATGTTATCTTCCCTCCTGAAACAATGTAGAAACTGTAGCCAATGCTTTTTTTCTTTAAAGAAAAGAAAGTTATGAGATGATAGATACTATACAAAGTATGGCTCAAGGACGAGATACCCTTGCTGAGTCCACCAAAACTAAGAGTGGAGCAAGTGGAGAGTTATCTGGAAGGACCAAGGATCAACAGGGCTATAACTTACAAGACAGAGTTCAAAATAGGAGTGAGAGCTTTAGCGAAAGCTCCTGGAAAGAGCATTGCCCTCAAGTTTTCAGCAGAGCATTTCTCTGCACATGCATGTGAGAAAACCACATGGGCCAATAAAGGTAATATATATAAGATTATAGGAAACAGGACTGAGAATAGGGCCTATACTTAACAGCTGGGATGGAGTGTCTCAATTCTGAGGACATTTGCTAGTATATTCAAAATATATTTGCCTTAGTATTTGGGAAGAATTAGTGCTGGCACAAACACCGTCTTAGTCCCATCCACAAATCTTAAAGGAATTCTCAAGAACCATAAAATGTTTCCAAGTAACTCAACTGTATTTGACCAATGCTTTAGTATACTTTATGAATACAGAATAGTCTGCACTAGCAGGTAAAATTCATGTCTGCCTTCCAGTGAAGGCTTGCCAGGTATGCAAAGACTCAAGAAATATCAAAAATGAGGAAAAAATTGACTAATAAAAGCTGACCTAAAACAGAAGCAGGTGTTAAAATTATGAGGCAAATAAATTAAAAACTGTTCTTTATATGCTCAAAAAATTAAGTAGTGATATAAGTAACTCAAAATTCTAGAAATAAAAAATACAATAGCAAGACAAAATTGATAT